CATTAAAGGAAATATTGTCATTTAAGTCACTTTAGAATAGAGCATTTTCATATTACATATGTCTTTTGGAGGATGCTACAAGAAATAAATAAAAATGTTAAACATAATTTCAACTTCCCTTAGAAGTTATGGCTTCAAATACTATTTGTGATTATATTCTATAAGAGCTGCATAAGCATCAAGTGTTAAATATAAGTGATTATATACAACAGAATATAAGTAATTTAGATAAAGCCAATATTTCCAGAGGAAGAAAGTTATAACTTCATAAAAATTAAGTGAAGAAACCAGTATATGACAGAAGAGTCTAGTAATAAACCCTAACAAAAACCGAAGTCCAATGTAATGGGCATACTGAGATCCACTTTTATTATGTGGATTCTTTCAAATAAGGCCAGAAATCAACATGAAGCAGCAATCTGGAGACTGATGGTCAAACACAGCAGACTGTGGAACCATTATGTGGAATGTGATCTTCTTTGGGTTAATATATACTTTTATGGGGGTGATGTGTAATATGGTATCAGAGTGTTCATTAAATCAAGGTAATAAAGTTTCACATTTTAAATAGTGAAAATTTAAAAAGTGCAACCTGAAAATCTAAGTCATAGGGAATTCACAGAAATTTTGTGAGCACTTTGACATTTTTGGCCTTTAATATTACTTATCTATAAATTAAAGGTAAATGGGGCCTACATTGATTCTGTGGTTAAATTTTGTTCCAGTTAATTCCATCTGGTGATATGCTGCATTGAATTAGCTGCACCTCAAGAAGGGAAATAGCTAGAAGACAGACACTAACAAGGTTTGCTTTCAAGAACGGGTTCGTCATGGAGTTTATCTCTTTTGGCAAGTTGAAATTCAACAAAGATCTCATTTAAAATAATAATAATAATAATAATAATAATAATAATAATAAAAGAAATAATTGTACCAAATCTAATCCAGGTCAATAAGACAAAAGATTTTAAAAATGATCCTGGGACTATTAAAGTTATAAAAGAATGTTGTAGCTCCTGCCCAGATTGAAATACCAGCTACAAAACTGAGAATTTAACTAGACTGACGTCAGTGGTTTTGTAGATACTAAGAACTTTTTTTTGTTTTTTTTCTTTTTAAGTTCTTAAGAAGCCTCTATTTTGTTGTTTTTTATTTGGTTTGGTTACATTTAGGCTTTATTTTCGGAATCATTGGTTTAAAAAAGGGCTAGTACTAGCAAATGCTGGCAAATGCCTATAGTCGTAAGCTTTGGATTATTCTTGCCTGTTCGATAAACCAGTGCACACAATAATGTTTGATTTATTTGCCGTTTAATTGTTTTGGTCTAATTTTAGGACATACAGTTGTGTAAATAAACCAGAAGATAGGTATATAAAAGCTCACATAACTCAAGTAGATGATTATAAAGAAAGCAAAATATTTGTTTTTGGTAAATGGCTTCAAATTTTCATAAAATTTGTTCTAGAAATTTAGTAATCTGGTTTAGTTTACAATTACCATCAAAGAGATCTGTTTTTAATTTTTCTTCTTTTTTAATAATAATATTAATTTCTTTTCTTTTTTTCAGTCCTGCCCCCAACCTGCATCCGGTGCCCAGCCTGTCCCACCAAGTTGAGACCTCACTTTTGACAAACAAATTATTTAAAATTTATCTTCATATGTGTGTTTGGGTGTGTGTGTAAGTGTGTGTATGGCGGGTATGCTATGTGACAGCGCTTGTGGAGACCAGAGGCCCTGAGCTGTCAGTGCCTGGACCCCTCCTTTTCTGAGACACTCTCTTGCTGTCTCCATATGTACACGGCCAGGCTAGCCGGCTCATGAGCTTCCAAGGGATTCTCCTGTCTCGGTCTCCCTTCTCATCACAGAAGCACTGGACACAGGCCACCATTGTCTATGAACCCTAGCTCAGGTTCTCAGACTTTCACATCAAGAATTTACCTGATGGCCGTCCCTGCAGCCCTAGATTTCAATAAAGGGTTTAGAGAATGAAAGGTATACAAGTTAACACTTTAAAGGAAGCAAATACACACACACACACACACACACACACACACACACACCACACACATCACAACATATATAAAGGAAGAGACATGACTAAAAAACTTCTAGTTAAATATTAAGATAATTACTAATTTAATTAAAAACACAGGAAATCAAAGTAAACAACTACCTCTTCATAGGACATAATATTCCAGCATTATGTCATGCCCCACTATCTGTCTATAGAAATCATTTTCTATTACAAAAGCTTCAATCACTTAGTATTTTTGTCTCTTGAAAATTCAGTTTTTTGGGGTTCTTACATCCATGGCACTTAAGGTGCCAGATAACTGACACATATCGTGGTGCGACGGCAGTACCTAAGAACTCATGGAGTACAATATCTCTCCAGACTGCTTTACTAATGTCATTATTGCCATCCACATCATACATAAGAGGTTGTGATTATTCCAGGAATCTAAAGTAACGACAAATATTTTGGAATAAACTTGGTGTAATGAAGAGAGAAGAAAATCAAGCTAACCTCTAATGTGACAATAAAAGTATTGAAATAAGATAGCCTTTCCATAATAGAGAATATTTAAATTTCTGCTAAGTGTGAGGACTGACTTGTACCAGAATCTTAGGCATATAATTGCCAGTCAGTATTTGGGATTCTAACATTCCTGGATATTAGCATAACTTCACTCAGAGTTCTGATCTCTGTGATCAAAGCAGGTCAAGACGTGTTCAACTAAGTTCTCCATTTACCCACAGACATAAATGGGTATAGCATGTGATTCTGGAAGCAATCTACTGACTCAAAGGACTCTAGACTGACTGGGATCGCAGCAGCTATCCTAGAGTGCACAACTGCACGGTATCTTCAAACAGTAGCTGGGCAGCGCAGAAGGAAGTCACCGAGTGCTTTAAGCAACACATTTTCTATATTCTTCAAACTCCTTCCAAGGAAAAATTGTGTTAGGTACAATTTCATTGACTAGCCTTATAAAAGGCAGAGATTTAAGGTATAATCCCGTCCCAGATCTACAGATATTGTAAAAGCCCCAACTCTCAACCATATATTCATTAGCACACAAACGAACTAAGTAAAACAAACTTCTTACTCTATGGCAACTCTTTCTAAAAGGTAACATGAGCAATAATTGACCAAGCAATACCTGTGCCTACAGTGTCTGAGTGTTCAGGAGATATTTCATGTGCAATACTCGACCAAGCAATACCTACCTGTGCCTACAGGGTCTGAGTGTTCAGGGGATATTTCAAAGTGTTGTAAAACTATTGTTACATAGCAGATTCTATTGTTGAAAATTATAAAAGCCTGGAATTAAGCTGGAGGGTAGGAAAAGTATCGGGTAAGTTTAGTTTCTCAAGTCCATTCTTCCAACTATTGCAGAACCTAATTTTGCCATTTAATATGCAGATATGCTTCGACACGTCTCAAAACTGAAAACTTCCCCTGCGTCCGTTTGTGAAATCTGGAGCCACTGTTTTCATCATTACCAAACATCTCTGAAAATTTCCCCACTCTCTTCCCTCACTTCCATGCCCTCTACGTAGACCTACACTGCTCCGTTTGTGTGGCTGTCTTCAGGATGAAGCAGAACAAGGGGACGTGTGCTCTGGCCCCCCTCTTTCTCACACTCTGTGGATTTGGAAGATACTTATTACTATTTTGATAAGGCATCCTCTTTTGCTTTATGAAGTTCTGACTTTCCTACTTTGCTGCCATTGTGTTGGCTTTATTGGTGGGCACACATTTTGTTCCCCCACTTACTCGGCAGGGACTGCGGCACTAGGTCTTTCCCCACATGTGTTAAGACTTCAGTGTTTTAGCATCTACACTCATGAACTTCGTTTTGTTCCCATGGCTCTAACAATCCCTGAAATGGTGCGTTTACTTCTCAACAGCGGAGTTCCTCATTTCTAACTGAAACTTCAGGAAAAAAAAAAAAAACTATTCATTTTTCAGTCTTGTAGTGGCCAAAGCAGAGTCTTTGGCCCTATCATTGGACTTCATTCCATTTAACTAAATATGTTTATTCTCGAACTCCAGTATGTCTTCCGAAAATTCAATAGTTTCATGGGACATTTTTACAGAGTTTTAGAAAACACAGTTTACAGCTCCCTTTTTGCTATTGTTAAAATCTGATAAAATTAGCTGAATCTCACAAGTGATGTAAAGAACAAATATGTCCTGGTTATGAGTATGATTAGAAATTCCAAACTGAATATTATCAAATCTAAATGTAGTAGCATTGTCAATTTATGATTTATTCAGGAATGTAACAAGAAAAGTTATGACACATAAATGGAGGCTCAAATACCATTTTCTAATGTCCAAAATTCATTCTGTGCAAATACATAAAACTCATATCCGATTTTAAATTATAGGTCAGGAAATCATTGCAGTTTTCCTCTTGAAAAGGTGGATTAGTACTCTTGTACACTCATTTCACAATAAAATGGTCTTAGACTTTTCTATTCCCTGGTTAAAATAGTGTCTCACTTTTTTTTTCTCATAACACACTGAGTTTTTAAATGACACATTTGACATCATTTCTTTTTCCATATAAAGCCACCTTAAAGGCATTCATTACTATTCATGTGAGCATGGTCAACTCAGTCTCTAAATTCATGAAGCTCAAGAAAAAGTGAAGAGTCTCCTTGTCCAGATACAGTTTAAATTATCTATGGCCATAACGGTAGACCAAGAATGGATTTCTCAAAACATAGGTCCCAGTCAAGCAGTGATGATTCACGCCCTTTATCCCAGCAATCGGGAAGCAGAAGAGGCATGCGGATCTCACTGAGTTTGAGACCGGCCTGATATACAAGAGCTAGTTCCAGGACAGGCACCAAAGCTACACAGAGAAATCCTGTCTTGAAAAAACAAGCAAAGAAAAACAACAACCAAAAAAAAAAAAAAAAAAAAANAAAAAAAAAAAAAAAAAAAAAAAAAAAAAAAAAAAAAAAAAAAAACATAGGTTCCAGAAGCTATGCATCTGTGTGTGTTTAAAATATTTACTATTTTAATCTTTTTGCCTCAAATATTAAGTCATAGAAACTTCAGCAAATGCCCTTGAAAAACATAAGAGTTTAGATCTCATAGAGCACAGATATGCAGATAGGTAGGTAGGTAGATGATAGATAGATAGATAGATAGATAGATAGATAGATAGATAGATGCCCTATATGGCCAGGAAAATAAGTATAGATAATTAGTCAAAAAAGTAAATTTTCACTGTGAATGTTGGTATATGCATAGAATCTCAATAGTCAGGAGGCTTAAAGAGAGAGTGCCCGTTCAAGACAGGCCTGGGCAACAGAGAGATTAATAATTGACTATTTGATTAATGATTGTAAAGTGTAAAAGTTAAAAAGACATTTGCTAACCTTAATAATTTTCTCTCTTAAGTCAGCATCCTATCATTTATTTTAGTATTTCCTATTACTCAGTGTTAATCATTTTTTATAACTGTCTTATTTCTTCTCTTCTCCTCCTTCTTCTTGTGATATTGGGGATGGAGCCTAGGGGTTCATGCAAATTAAACAAACCCTCAATATTGGAGCTATATCCCCAGTCCTGTTTCCACTCTGTTATTTTTAAAGACATGGTCTCACTAATTTTACAAAGCAGGAACTGAACATTTATTTCTCCTGCCTTCGACTCTTGAGTGGCTGGGATTACAGGTCTGCACCACCAGGCCTGGCTTCCTGCTGCACTTATTCCATCATCAATATTCTAAAACTTCATAAAACAGTTATTCTTGCCCATCAGTATGTTCAGTCTACACTATAAAGCAAACAACTGATTTAGGAATCTGTATTGATTCTTTCAAAATGACAATTTTCTTGGAATTCTCCCATAATATGATATGGTTCAACAGTGTTCATTAAAAATAACCTTTAAAATTCCAAATGCTTTCAAAATATTTTCTTCAGAAGACACTCTTAACACTTAGGAACAGACAGAGTCCTATTTTAAAAAAAAAAAAGTGATTTTCCTCTCCTGGCCCTTTGTTTTCACCTCCTTCTCCTCAGGATTTGCCTACAAACCCCAGTCTTGTTCTGTCCATCTTTCTGGTGACTGCACCAGGAAGGAAAAGGATTTCCCCTTTGGTTCATTGTTGATAGACAGTCTTTGACACTACCCCCAAAAGCCCAACAGCATAAGAGGGCCGGAGGGGGGGGCTCTCAGAACAAGAGCAGCTTGTTACTGTTTCAACCTCAGGGCCAGGGAGTTGCGTATTTTTATCACAGACCTGGGCATGTTTATGGAATTAATCTTTAACAGTCACTGCAACCTCTTCTTTTTCTACTTCCGAAGTTTCAGTGATATTTTTGGAAGTGCGTGAGTTTTCCCACTCAGCCTGGTTTCCTGATTTCATTTGCCATCTCGCCCGTTTTCCTTGATTTCTCTGCCTGCTTTTGTGGACATTTTTGTTGTCCTTCCTTAAAGCATTTTCTCACCGGCATAGTTCTTGTCCTACGGCAATATTGGATTCTAGTCATACCCCAGGTAAACCGTCTCAGTGGAGGGGAGCTGTCTGGGGAACAGGGAGGAAAGGCCAGTGGCTGCAGTGAAGATGAGTCAGGCCCCAAGAGAACAGGGCTCAGCTCATGAAGGAATGCAGAAACAGGGAACAGTGACAAGGAAGGGTGATTGGGGTGTATTATGTGAAATTTCCAAATAATCAATAAAAATATTAGGTTAATAAAAATGATACGTGCTCTCAAATTCCCCGATGCTATGAGAGGCTGAAAGGGCTGTTGTAGGCCAGAGACACTGTGGAAACCTCCCTAATCAGCCTCTGTAGTCACCTGGTAACATTAATTCAGGAAGAGCACTAACAGCACGGGTCTACAGATCGAATGTGAACAACAAGAGTACACAGCCAAGCGCCCGGTTTGAACCTCTTCGTTTCACACTCTAGCACAGAGCCGGTCCCTTCTCACTCCTTCCCCTCTGCGTCTTTTCAGTGTTACACCACAAGAGAGTTTGAAGCTCTCTCTGTACCAGCTCCTTTGTTCAGATGTCAGTTTAGGAACCACAAACTCCAGAAAACTTCCTTAAGGACTTAAGGGCATACCCAGCACTCCAAAATCACCTTCCTTCTAAGTATCCTGGTGTCTACACTGTAGGATTTTCTTACACAGGGGAGGATGGAAGGAGACTTTGAAGCCAGCCTGCAGAAGGATTTTGTCCTAATTAGGCCAACTGTGATAACATAGCTCTGTTCAAGGAAGCCTCTGTTCCCACATCTGTCTTTGAACTGCAGATAAGAAAATGGTATGCCTCACAGAAAGCTTCGGATGCCACAGTACACGTAAAATGTTCAGCACAGTACTAGCATAGATCAGATGCTAGATAAATGGGAACCATCATCGAGATCTCTGATCTTTCCTGCTGTTGGTTTGCTCTACCCACCTTCACCTGAGCAAGGTCTCTGCTGCTTATGAGAAACAGCAGTAAATTAGGAATCACCTTGGTGACTCACACCTACTACAAATTTTTTTCAATAAAGCAATCAAGATAGATAGTTTATTAGTCATGTCAGGTAAAAGCACCTGTGGGGGTTAGTTAGCAATTACTATGAGTAACTTCTATGTCCCCTACCTAACGAGTTTTAATTTTCTAAAATACCACTGACCAACTATACTAGGTGAGCTCACAAGAATTATTTTTCCTTAAAGTCCCACCTGAGCAGGTGCACTGCACAGAAGACAAGAAGGAAAGAAACTAGTTAGAGCGCTTGGAGGGGCAGAGGGCGTGACCCTCTTAATCGTTCTTCACTTCCTTTTTTTTTTTTTTTTTTAAGATGACTTGGCAACGTCCGCCACATCAGCAGCAGAAGCAGCGACGCCTCCTCAGTGGAACTGACTTGCAATAGCAAGCCTTCACACTGCTGCACTTTTGCGGCTTCTGTGGACATATTATCAACCGGTGGTTTTAGCTCCCAGTCTCCCAGGCTTGCCAAAGCGGTTAGAAGTCATTTGGAAAGCCTTTTAGCCGAATCTCTCTGATCCAGAAGGCCAGCTGGCTTCTCCTGAGGTACTTTCGAAATTTGCAGCGACCACTGATCCTGGTCCAGGTGCATGGGGAAGACGCTAAGGGTATAAAACCCAAACATTGAACCTGAAGACCCAGCGCAAAGTAGAAACTGAAAGTACCCTGCCTACTCTGCCGGCAGAGCCTACGGAAGTTATGGCAAAGTCAGAGCGCCTGGCCAGCGGGTGATGCATGCGGCCTCTCCTGGGATGGATGGACTAGGCGCGGCGTGGGTGAGAGGAGCCAGCTGCCGAGACTGTCCTGCCCAGTACCGGCGTGCGGCCACTCGGCGGATGACCGGGGTCCAGGGCGTGATTATGGGTGTTGAGAGCTCGCTCCTGCTGCAGTCCCAGTCATCATGACTACACCCACCTCCCGCAGACCATGTTCCATGGTAAGCGCTGCTCTCCGGTGCGCACGTAGGTGCGCCTAGCGCTCCGGGGACTCTGGGACACTCCGGGACGCGCAACCCGCCCCCGCACGTCCGGGAATAGCCCGGCCTTGCACTTTGGACCGGCTGGGAGCACGGCCTCTCCCATGGTCAACTACTACCCGTGCTGAGCTCGGTGGCCCAGAGACATTGGCACCTGGGCGTACAGCCCGGGGTAGGCGGGGAGGAGCCCTTCCTGACGCCGGCTTTCGATCCCCGGACCCAGAGACTCAGAGTAGGAGTCGCCCCGCGGTGACCGCCTGCATCAGGTCTCAGTAGTCAGTGGCTAACAGTCACACTCTGTTCCTAGTCAGCGACATGCCCAAGCAGCCCTTCCCCGTTTCCTGACAGCGCAAAGTTACTCACAGGCTGCCTATGTTCAGGGAGTCGCTGGGCTCTGGTAGCTCACAACTTCATGCAGAATGAAAGAGTCGCTCCCGAGGATGCGCTTTTAAACCCTAAAGGACAGATCACTGGAAAACCCCCTCTTCTCCCCTCAGTAATTCTGGGAGTTTCCGACCCAGGCTGTATGTTGCGTTATTTGCTGGGAACACAAGTCCTGCGGCTGGGAATTGTAAAAAGCCAGATCTCCCCCCCCCCCCACACACACACACGCATATTTGCTACAAAAGGGAAATAGGACTATAAGTATCTATGAGTACAAATTCTTAGCACTTTGATCAGTCTAACAGGTTTGCATTTGCTTGAAATAAGTAAGGACCTAAAATGGACAAAAGCAGAATTGACAGTGGCTGGAATCCACTTGTAGCTAGAACTAAAATAAATAAACAAATGCTGAAAAAAAGCATAGATGAGAACAGAATGGAATGTGAGGAGAGAGGATCTACTCGAGGAAATGTTTTCCAGCAAATACTTCCTAGAACCTGCTAGGGTGCCGGAGCAGGGAGCCTGCCCGGTGCTCTTCCTTCCGAAGCTCTGTGTCGTTTCTTTCCAGGCCACTCCTTTGAGTCCTATTATTTTCCATCCTTTAGGTATTAGAGAACAAGGAACTGGGCATAATGGAGTAGTTGTCAGAAACAAAATAAGAGGTGTGGAGACCGGAGAGACTATGCAAGGAAGCAGGGAAGTACTCTTGGTGAGGGTGCCGTCCCGTCCAGGAATTTAATTACAACCAGAAAGCGTGTCCCTGTTTCCTTTACAAAGCCCCTGGTTCTGAAATCGCTTCTTTTCACTCCTGACTTTAACCCTTGACTAACGTATGATCTGGGAAGACAAAAGGACAAAAGAAAGCAAAGGTGTATAATTTAAATATGGGGGCTTAATTTCCTGTCCACATTAGTCAAGCATCATAAGGTGTGAGTAAACAGAATATGAAAATGTTTAATTCTTGAGTTAAAGTGAGTGGATTTCTTCATTTTTGTTCCAAAATGCATCCCCTAGGAAGGAGCTGAAGCGCCATTTAGGCTGTGTGCTGTGCTGGTCTTTCTTTCTACCCTGCTTTTTTGGGCAGTAAGTAAATGAAGATTCACTATTTGACCTGTGGTTGTCCTGCCTCACTTAAGAATTTTATTATACATTTTATTTGCTAATAAAGTGCAATCATGAGAAACACAGGATGACTAGGAATGAGTAGGAAGCTTCAAGAGCTTTAAAGGAGAATTAGAAATTTCACATCACTGCGTATACATCTAAAATAAAAATGGAAAGTTCTTTCACAGAACCAGTGTGCATGGCCCACAGGGATGAAGTGTTTTTATCCTGACTCTTCACAAATAACTTTATTCTATGTCCAAATAGTTACTGTTTTCCTTGAAATGGACCCAAATGCTATAGTTTCAGAGCTTCATCAGGAAGTACCTTGGTGATGTTCATGCAGGAAAAAATAATTTTTTTTACTTCTTTTGACTATCTGTACATGCAACTATAGGAAGTTCATTGAGTAGCTGAAAGCTGGATTCCCAGACAAGTCAACCTGAGCATGTCAGATGTGAATCCTGATTTCTCCTAGGAACACTATCTTGGGGAATTGTTTTCTGGGCTCCAGATTCTCCACTGTAAAATGTGAATGACCTGTATGCATGAACATCATAAAGTGGCTGTAGAACTGAATTCTCTGTTTAAATAGACTTACAAAAGAGCATTCAATGAACACTCCTTAAAGTGGATGGGAAAAGCCCCCAAGGCCTCAGCCCTAGACAAAGGATTGCAGGCATCCAGAAAATGCTGAGTGTGGGAGAAATTGTCTTCCCCAGGGAAAAGCATGCCAATTGCTTATCCCAGTGGCCATCCTGGAAAACATACATGCAAGTAAGATTATACAGACTGAGCAGGTAGTGTTTATGTTTTAGATAAAAACAATGAGGAAAGAAGTCGTGAATTTGAAGTAGAGTAAGGAATGGCATATAGAAAGTTTTGGGGTATGAAATGGATGGGAGAAATAAAATTATTTTGCAATCTCAAAAAATAAAAGTAACAATTAAGGAAACTGATAAATGACTGGATATGATGGACTGAAGAAGCCAATTTATTTATGTTCACTTTGACCTCATAACTTAAGCAGCTAGAGATCGAATGTATTATTTGGCTTACATTAAAAACCAACAAAAAATTTTCGACAGCTATCATTCTGGTTTAACCATATTCCCTACTGAAAACAAATTCTCCAGTTTCAAACCCTTCGGGAGATTTAAGGACAATCCTACAAGCCAATGCATGTCTTGTATTGTTGCTCCAGTTTGTCTTATCTGTGACCTAATGAGAAGTTCAGGCTTAGAAGTGTGCTATGAAACAAAAAGAAGCAACATATGTCAAATATTGAATTCCCATTGAGACAACAGTGTTAGAAACACCCTCACATCAGAAAAATCTTAATTTGTGCATGTATTTGGAAGAAACAACTGGAATTACAGAAGAAAGTACACATGATTGAGGATAGAGCCAGGAACCTATGAGATAGGCATCTTGGGCCCTTTTGTTTATGGAATTATGCCTGGGGCAATTTAAGTGTGAAAAGTCTCTATTTGGATTATAGAATATAAAAAGTGTTTGAGAGATGAGAGAGAAGAGAGATACAGTAAGAGATCACAGAGAGTTTGAGATTAGGCACAGGAAATTTAAATGCAATTCAGCAATTTAGTCAGTCATTTAGTCCATTGTCAGATCAAGATAAAACCCCCAATTATCTATATTTTAAAGACTCCATGGTCTGTGAGTAGCTACCTTGCTTAATTGTTAGGATCTACAGGAGATGAATTGTATTTTAAGAATAGTTTTATAATTGAAATTTTCATGTAGCACACATGTGCAAAAAGTATTCCACCAAACCAACACTGTAGAACATTGACAAAATGCTGTCCAGTGAACTGTAAGTTCAGATGAAGCACAGTCTTACTGAAAACTGGCATGAAGAAGAAAACTGGTAATCTTATAAAGTAAAACAAAGTAACTTACTAAGGCACAGAAAATGGACCTTTGAAATAAGATTTAAGTATAGATGAAAATTAATCTCTTTATTAATAACATCATCACACTCTTCTTTGAGTTCAAATGGCATCCCCCATCTCTTTCCTCTGTCTATTCCTCCAAAAGCCTAAGGATTGGAAGCTTGTAAGGCCAAGGACAAAATAAACAGCATGTTACTATAAAAACGTATATAGATATGATAAAATGTGTTAATAATTGATCAGTGTGTATCCTGGCTGGCAAAAGGTAATAGGAGAAGAGTAGATGTTTGATACTGTGGGGAAGTGGCTTTCAATCTGAATACCAGTGTGATAATATGCTATCAAGTGACTGTGGCATTTTAAAATCAAATACCAATGAAGTAGAAGACTCAGGTTAACATCTAATCTTAGCAACTGTTGTTTGTGTGCTACAAAAAGTAGGCTAACTTGAAGGTCTCTTGTTATATATAATAAAATATGTAGCATATGCTTATATCTATACATATATAAGTAGACTATCATTTGTGATAGATACATAAGAAGGTAGATGATAGATAGATAGACAGACAGATAATAGATTTACCTAACAGCCCCTGGCTCAGTAGTCCAATTAAAAGCACCTAGGATCATAATCTTTGATCTGAAATGAATTATTTAGTGGAGAATTTTGAATAGATTTCATGTCCATTCCTGGATTATTTTTTGAGAGTATCAAGTTTTAGTTTTATATAAATATGGGAAGCTATGAGTTATGGGGTTCTGAAATTAAAATATGATTACATCATTTCCCTTCTTCCCTTTTCACCCTTCAATCTCTCCTATTTACCCCAATTACGCTCCTTTGAATTCATGGCCTTATTTTCTTTGTTATTTCATTCACATATACACATATAGGGGAAGGAGGAGAGAGAGGGAGATGGAGGAGAAAGATATTTATAAATATGTAAATGCAACCTGCTCATTCTGTATAATGTCACTTGTATATATAAGCTTTCAGGGCTAATGACTTTGTAATGGATAACCAATTCAGGGGTGGGGGCTCCTTACTGTACTTAGCATGCCTTAGTTGCCTGTAGTTCTTTGTCTATGGTTGAGGTTCTATGAGTTACCAGAACTTCTACCAAGCACATTTTCTCTACTTGTAAAAAAAAAAAAATGAGTCACTTAGATTGTAATTTATGGTAAACACTTCTGACTTTTAAATATCATTGGGCAATAGTATAATATATGACATATTTCTGGTGTACTTTACAGTCTTTAGGCTGATGTCAATGTCAGTTCCTTGGGTTTAGAGAAACATTGTTTAGACAAATAGAGAACTTCACATATAACGCTGAGCACTACATGTTATAATGCTAATTTGATTTTGCATGGTAAGTATGTCATTAACCCAACCAAGTTTGTGGAACTATGAAAGCAAGATGTGCAGACTCATGAATAAATAGGTTGCCTTTAATGTTTCTAGGTGCCACTTGGTTTGCATCTTAATTATTTACCCCAGGTGATTTGAAATTTCATTCCTTTTGATTGGACAGTTGACTCTAATTGTCAAGTCTTACAAAAAGCAATCATAAACCATCAGCTGAGAAGGCATGAGTCTATTGCTTGAGATATTCTTACCATGCAAAGAATTAAGAGAGAGCATTCTTGAACAGAATCTAAGTCTTTGTGAAAATATATGTGTAAAATAATAAAATATGGAGAAGATCAGAGTTTGGGAAAGGTAAAGCTCTCTAAGATTCATCATTACAAACAATGAACCACCATAGTGTAAAAGCAAAGAGGTACCCCCCACATCACTTCCTCCAGAGAAGAACTGGATTTGCCTTCATGAGGGTTATGTTCTGTATAAATAAGCATTCATATGACATCTTTCACGTATTTTAAATAATGTGTGACTTTTCAGCATGTTTGCTACAAATCCAACTGACAAAACTGTCACACTCTCCCCTACTGAATATTTTTCAGAAGTCTTTGATCTCCCTTGTCAGAAAATTTTTATTATATATACGTATATATAATAAAATATATATACGTATATATATATATAATAAAAATAATTATATATAGAGAGAGAGGGGGGAGGGAGGGAGGAGATGTTTATGAAATTTTTTTTCATTTTACATATCAATCCCATTTCCCCATCCCTTTGCTTCTTCTGCCCCCTACTTCCTCCCCATCCCACCCTACATCCACTCCTCAAAGGGGGTAAGGCTTCCCTTGGGGACCCAACAAAGTCTGTCATACCAAGTTGGAGCAGACCCAAGTTCCTCCCTCCTGTATCAAGGATGAGCAAGGTATCTCACCATAGGGAATAGACTCCAAAAAGGCAGTTTATAAACCCTGGGTAAGTCCTGGTCCCACCACCAGGGCCCCCCCCCCCCCCCCGCCCGCTCCACAACAAACCAAGCCATATAACTGTAACCCACATTCATAGGGCTTAGTTTGGTCCCATGCATGATCCCCAGCTGTTGGTCCAGGGTCCGTGAGCTTCTACTAGCTTGGGTTAGCTGTCTATGTTTCATTTTTATAGATCTTTCTGTGCTATGCGAGAAATGAGATGTATGTTTAAAATTATTAGATATAGGTGTTCATTACAACTGTAAAACACAACCTCGTATAATATGTTGTGGCATCTACCTTGGGCTCATTAACTGTTGGGTGCAGTTTCTTTTAGATATATCTTTGGAATTCCTCCCCTGATCCTTGTTCTGTTGCCTGTCACATCATCTGACTGCCACATTCAAGATAAAGAAGGTAAAGCATATGAGAGTGTGCTGATGGTCAGCATCGATGAATTGGTACGTGCTTGTTTTGTTTCCTTGCATTCTCACCTTCTGGGAAATGTGAATATGCTTTTGGTATTTAGTCCTATAATCAGAGACCCACTGTGATTCTTGACCAGGAAGGAGGTAAGTAGCTGCAATCATGCCCATATTTCAGCCTTTCAAACTTGATTATTTTTCTTAGAAGTGTGAGTCAAATTCTTCCTTGTAATGTATAAGATGCCTAGTGTCATCTACATATTTTATTTGGTGAGGCCTATGAATTCCCATCTTTAAGACAGAGTCTTTTATACATTAGCATAAGTTGTCACACCACCGATTGTATATTTCTTTGATTTCTTTCATCAGAGTTTGTACCCTTCTCCATACAAATCATATCCATAATCAGTAGACTTTTATGGAAATATTCCATACTATAGCAGGATTCTAAATAATGCTGGCTTTCATTTCAAATTGCATGTATTTATTGCTGGTATATATACAGACTTTTGTTTTTTGTAAGTTAACCTTGTGTCTTGCAATCATTTTAGAATCACTACTTTGTTGCAGGAGTTTGTTGCTGATGGCATTTCTTTGTGGTCTTCACATAGACAATAAAGTAAAAGTTATCATGTAAGGTTGATTTAATCAGTAGACTTACCTTTTTAGCCAGACTGAAGTCTTATGTGGCAAACAAAACCGTTCCCTAGTGTTCAAAACACAGAAGACATTGTTGAAAGTCTTCTTTAATATCCCTGCTCCATACAGTGAAGTAGACTAGTACCTTGGAAAACTGTTTTGCCTCTGGAAGAGGTAGAGAAAATGCAAAGTGGTTAATGTATACTGGGACATAAAGTTCTATGTTGTTTGCCAACTGACAGGAAGTGAAAGCATACCCACCACTCAGTACTTTCTATGTTTTCTACTTCATGATATTGGGAAATTGAGTACTTTAAATGTTGCTTCTAAATTGATCTTTTTCACCAAGATGATATACGTGTGATTCAATTGTATTACCTGTGCACAGAAATAAATAGTATTATTTCAATAGCAGTCAACAAGCAAAGGTGTATATGCAAAAAATGTAAAGAGTGAGGGAAGAGACTGTTGTAAATTTAACAGAAGAGGTTTATTTAGCCAAGTCATAGCACAGCTTTTCCTGAAAATATAGAATAGGTTATCTCAACACATTTAGCCAGAAACCAGAGTAACAGCAATGATGTTACTCCTGGTGGCAAGGCATAGCTACTCTTTTGAAGATGGACTGAGAAGGCATGGGAGAAATCTCAGTAGGTCCAACTAAGTGATGGCATGGCAGTGTGATCCTAAAGATGTTTTTGTTAATCTGAGGAAAAGAGAAGAGAAAGTCACCACGAATTGCTACTGCAGAGACGGCAGAGCAGATTTAGTCACTGAGAGCATGCTAAAGGCTTGACAGACCTTAGTAGATTTTCTTCTGAAGGAGACCTCATCAGTGCTAGAGTATGTAAAATGCTTGCTGTGATCTGTTGTTCTTCCTCAGCAAAATCACTTAATGTTTAGAATTCTCAAAAAAAAAGAAAGATGTTCTTATCACATTTCTTTTTGGTAATATTTATCTGCATGTGTCTGTATGAGAGTGGAGTAAATGCCTCTGAATGCCTACAGAGATCAGATGGGGTATTGTGTCCCCTGAAGCTGGAGTTAGAGGTGACTGTAAGCCACACAGATTCCAGTCCTCTAAAGTTCAGGCAGTCTTCTTCACTGTTGAGATGTCTGTTTATTTTACTTCACATTTCTTCAATTGCTAGTTACAAAAAAGTTTTGCATGTTTAAATTATTATTGGCGAGGGAGTGTAGAGAGATGACTTAAGGGTTCAGAACACTGGCTGCTCTTCCAGAAGGCCTCTGGTTTGATTCCCAGCACTCACATGGCTAGCAACCATCTCTAATTCTAGTTCTCCAGGATTGTAGCATTCAGGAGGCAGAGGCAGGTGAATCTCTAAGTTTGAGCCTACCCTGGTCCACAGAGTGTATTCCAGGATAGCCAGAGCTACATAGAAACCTTTCTTAAAGATTAGATGGATAGATAGATAGATAGATAGATAGATAGATAGATAGATAGATGATAGATAGATAGAGATAGATAGAGAGATAGAGAGATAGAGATAGAGAGATGGAGAGATAGATAGATATAGATAGATATAGATAGATAGATAGATAGATAGATAGATAGATAGATAGATAGATAGATAGATAGATAGATAGATAGATTGCTCCCTTTCAGAGCATTTCTTTAGCTGTGCAAGTTATTTGTAACAGTTGTTCACAGTATATTCTTCACAGTTCTGTGTATCAGTTAGGGTCTCCTTTTATGCTTCTGGTTTTACTGGTTTAGTTCTCCCTTTGTCTCTAACTAAACATTTGCCAATTTTGTTTATATTTTCAAAATACTAATGCATTTACTTGATCTATTTTGGTTTATAATTTCATTTATTTTTCTCTTAAGTTTATTTTCTATGAACTTTATCTTTATTTTGTAGTTTAGAAACTTTGAGGTGTATTGTTAGCATGTTTATTTAGAAATTTTCTATTTACTTTTAATGTATTCATTTATCATTATAAACAATAACTAAAGAATAACTAAAAATGTGTCATAGATTGTGATACATATTGCTCTTCTTTTAATCGATTTTGAGTTTAATTCATTGTGCTCTGCAAAGACACATGACATGATTCCTTTTCTAAAAGTTTTATTGATATTTAATTTGTAACCTAACATATGATCTATGTTAGACCCAAGGGGGAAAACCATTTCCATGACTTCTTCATTAATCGAACTTCATAGAGACGCACACAAGAGCCTGGCCTGACAGCTGCTTCACCTTACACTGGGATCTTCGAGAGCAACCCTTCACTGACTTTTGAGGTTCCTTTTATGAGGAAGGGGAAGGGTTGATAGGAAACAGCTGTGGAGTTAATTGACTGTTAGAAAGGAGGTAACAAAAATAAGGGCAACAATGCATCCTGTGGAGGGAGGGTCATCAAGGTGTCTGGGAAGACACTTTTCACAAGGCAAAAGGGCAGTCATCTATCACAGGTTTAGGAGTTTCTCAGGCAAAGTGATGGCTGGAAATCATGGGGTCACAAGTTCAGAATAGGGTGAAAAGTGTGGTTTACAGGATACATCAGATTCAGGAAACTGAAAGTTATTCTTGTAAGATATGGAGACTGAATAGTGATATAAGATAATATGGATTGTTAATAACAATGTGGCTCCTATTTTGATTTCTCACTTTTCATTGATTTTTACTGTGCCTGCAAAAACACATGATATTGATGACTTTTTAAAAAAATTATTGGTATTTATTTGTAACCTAACCATATGATCTATTCTGGAGAATATTCTGTGTCTCAAGAAAGAAAATGTATATTCTAGTGTTATTGGTTGAAATGTTTTCTAAATACCTATTAGGTCCTTTTATTCTATAGTATGATTCAACCCTAATTCTTATTTGCTGATTTTCTGTTTGAACTATTTTCTTACTGTGAAATTCAGATGCTAAAGTCTCCAACTAACTAGCATTGCAGTGAATCTCTACTCTTATGTCTAATGAGTGTCTGCTTTATGTATTGGGCAGTCTAGCTTTGGGTGCATATGTATTTATAATTATTACATAGTCTGTTCATTGATTGCTTATTAGCACATTATAATCCATATCACTTTATTTTTCTTTGCATTGTCTATCTTCAACACTTTCAACTTGTGTTTCCCTTTGCCAGTGGAATGAATTTCGATATATAGTTGTATAATTAGGCCTCACGTTTTTTGTTGTTATTTACCCATTGAATCTGTCTTTTGATTGATGAGCTACATGCATCAATATTCAAGGTTATTATCTATAAATTTAAGCTTCCTTTAGTCATTTTGCTGCTTTCTTTTTCTGTTTTATAAGATATCTCCATTTTTTCAATACTTAATTCTTTTCTTTTGTGACTTTTTTGTCTATGAATTTGTTCAGTAGTATATTCAGAATAGTAGTTAGCATCCTTATTTCCAGTAAAGGACTCTGGCCTTGTGGTGGTGAATTCTGTCAGTTTTTGTTTTTCTGGAAAACACTTATTTCTTGATTGTGAGGTTTTTTTTAAAATCAGAGTTTTAGTATATCATTCCATTCCTTTCTGGCATATATGAATTTTGTGGATAAATCTGATGTCATTCTAATGAAGTTTCATTTATATGTGACATTTTTCTTGTACTGGTTTTAGAGTTCTATGTGTCTTGTACTTTCATATTTTGAATATGAAACTATTCTGGAGAAGGTCTTGTTTGAATGAATGCAGTCAGGATCCTTGAAGTTCCTTGGATCTGGTTATCTGTGTTCAAATTCAAAGATGTGGGGACTCTTTAACTTTCATTCTGTTAAATTTCTCAGTGCTTTCTGTATGTGTGTTCTTCTAGAATTTCTGTAATGCAAATACTTGTTCTCTTAATGATGTCTTAAATATTTTAATATTTCTATGTGCTATTTTAACATTTTAATATTTCTATATATTAATTGTTCTATTCCTTCATTTTTCTGTTGTTTTCTTTAGTTATTCTATCTTCCAAGTTTAGAAATTTGTCCTTATGTTTCTTCTATTTCTTTGAATTTAAGACTGAAATATACATCTCTAAGATTCCTGATGACTTGATATAATTTCTATGTTGACTCTCCTCATGATTTTTTTTTGCTTGTTTGCTTTTGGTTTTGTTTTTCTTATTTCATTGTGTCACCTATCCACATCCTCTTGTGTTTTTTAGCTTCTTTATTTTGATTCTTTTTTTCATGCGTTTTATGAATTTCCTTCCAATTGTGATCTATTCCTGGAGAATCAATCTGTACCTCACTGGAGGTATCTCAGTTCCTTGGCTTTTCATGCATCTTAGTTTCTCTGAAATAACTTATGCACATATATTGAAACACTTCTCTTATTTTATTGAATATCTTTTATATGAGGACAAATTTTCATTTAAATAAGATGTAAGGTATCAGTCAATGCTTTGTCTGATTCTGGTTAACTTAAAAAGTTTAATGTTCATGTGATTTCTTTAGGTGTAACCAATGACAAAGAGCCTATGAGTGCCTTGATGGTCTAGATTTAAGTGACTCATAAATGCAGTAGTCCATTGTTTAAGATGATGTGGACTTCTAAATGTGTATGCCCCCAGGCCCTACAGACCAAGCACTTGTGGCACTTGGATATGTGATGGCAACAGTCATGGTTATGCTGATACACAATCTGTAAAACTGTCTCTGAGTACCACAAAACAGGAATGGGTGGTGACAGTTGCTAAATACCCATCATTCTGAAGCTATTTTGAAGAAAACAGAGAATTATCTTCTCCAGATCCTGTGATACAGAAAAGTGCAGTCTCTGGGTTACAAACTAAGAAGAGATCCTTTTATAAAACATGTGAGACAAGCACAATGATACCAGTGAATTTTTCACCATTGGCTTTGGTCAAGATCCATGGCCTGTGGAAGAGATCATCTTTAGTTTTCATGGGGACAAGTGTAAATGTTACTACAAGGTATGGTCCTGGTGGCTAGAGTTCTGGAGCTTCCAGACACTTATTTGATATTCTTTAGGTCTAGCATAGCAAGTGTCAGTGATGCTGGAACATCTGAGATGTTCTTGAAGTACAGCATCCACACCCACACCCTTGCCCTGTTCCAACTGAATAAACATGGGTGATATTAGCTTCTAACCTAGGCCATGGATTGAAAAGAACTTTGATACATTTACAGCTTGTGTAAAAGTGTGACAGGGTTTGTAGACTGGGTTGTTCAAGTTCTTGAACTGCATGATATGGATGAGATTGTCCCAGTTTCCTTCAAATCAAGTATAAAAGGTATATGGGCCATGTAGGACTCTGGAACTATAAAATGCTAAGGGATCGGTATTTGTCTCGTGACAAGCAACAGAACTACAGTTCCTGATGGAGTCATAGGCTCTCATAGCATCCACTAGATTTCCAAGCGCTATATTAAGTAACAGAGGGAGAGTAGGCATCCTCACCTCATTCTTTATTTTAGAGGGAATGCTCTGTTTGTCTCTACTTAACACAAAAAATAACTTTAAGTTTGTTGAATATAATCTTTTCACCAAGTACATGGAACTTTCTGATATGAGTAAGTTTGAATGCTTTTATAAGTGTTTTATAAACCACATTGTTTAACCCTCACTTGTATGGCTTCACTGTTGAATTCTCAGTCATCAGCACAGATTTCTGTCTATATTTCAAAACAGCATCATTGCTATAAATGTGCAGTGTCTGAAAATGGCCCAGTCTAATTATTGCCAATTAAAAGTTACCATAGTGTTAAGAATTAAATTCTAATGAATAACAGGTTTGTAACTTCTTATATCTTTGCCTCTATTTCTTTTCTGGGGTTCTTCACAGATTGAATCTCTATCTTTGCACTTACAGCTTTCAAATAGCTTTTGATCCATACTTTTTCTATAAACTTTAGAAAGCATTTAATTCAAATATTAATAGAAATATCTAGCCACCTATACTATATACACTAGTGAACTGATTATGTATCACTTTTTGCCTGTTCTGCTTCTGTTTACTTAGTTAATTCATTAGCATTTGACTTATCATTGAATCCTGACCTCCTGAACCACCATTAACAGTCCCCTCTTCTTCATCTCATTCATCATTAAATTTCTTACCACTTAATACATTTCCATACCATTTGTATAGTTCTATTCATGCTGTTAACTTCCCATATGGTCAAGACAGGCCATCTCCTGATCTCCCTGAGACTGACTCCACAGCATGGCCCTGCCTCATTTCCCAGTCTTTGGGTATGCATTTTTTTCTCTTTCTGGCACTTGAATTATTTTTCTTAAATTTCTACCATAAAAATGATACTCTATTGTACTTAACAATTCTTTTAAGCTGTGGGCTTCAACCTTGCATTTATCATAAATTGTTACTTTAAAATATGTCTAAATAGGGATGGCAAGACACTCAGAGGAATGAGTGAAATTATTCAACAATTTAAAAGTAGCATGAAGAGTTCAGTTCCTGAGATTCACATAAAGGTTGAAGAAAGCCAATTATAAAAAAGATGTCCTCTGGCCTTAATCCATTATATACCTACACACATAAAAAATATAAATTTGAAAAAAGTACAATTATGAATATACTGTTTAAATGTATGCAAATAACAAAAAATAAGTTGACCAAAATGGAAATTAAATTATATCCAACTAGGCTGGACTGTAAAATATTTCCTATATGTGAATATAAGAACATGAGAGATGGCTCAGTGGTTAAGAGCACTGGGTTTTCTTCCACAGGACCTAGGTTTAATTCTCATGGAAGCCCACAGCTGTTTGTAACTCCAGTTCCATGGTACCCAAAACCTTCATGCAGGCAAAACACCAATGCCCATAAATAAAAAAATTTTAAAAGATTGTGAATGAATGCAGTATAATTTAAGGAAGCAAGTTGTCTTTTAAGAGCTAAATATTTTTGCCTTACAATAAATTATTTAAAAAAGACAAAAATAAAAAATTAAAAGACAAACTCACATTGAAGAGAAACAGGGAGAATAAAAATATTACAAACCTTTAAAAATTCTGTGTATATTTTCTGAATGATTCAACAATGTGTTGCCTACAAGAAATTTACTTTTAAAGTAAACAAATCCATAGAGTCAAAGTAGAGGGATGGAGAATGATACAGGTGAAATGACTATTTATTTCAGATAAAGCTAAATCCAGGCCAATGATGTTTGTCAGGGATAAAAATTGCCATTATATAATAATAATATGCCCATTGTTCTGGAAGGAACAATAATCCTTAATGAGTATGTATCTTTAAAAGGCATCAAAATCTGGTGTTGAGAATACTAAATGCTTCAAAACTAGAAGACCTAGTTTTCCTTTTCATTAAAAGAAAAACTGTTAAATACAGTTTGAAATCCTTTGTCCTTACTAAGCATGATTGATATTATGTGTTTGTTTCCATAGTCACGCAGTCTAAATCACCCAAGTTTTAGTCCCATTTCATTAGAACACAAACTTTAAGTCCATCTCACTAGATTATCAGGATCCTTCTTTTACAACCTTCAAAGGTTCTACATTCTACAATACTGTTCCATTAGACTCTTTCTTGGTAGGCCTATGCATCCTGTGTCCATTGCTTCTAAGCTGGTGCCCAACAGTTACTAAGTATATTATTTCTGTACTAGAGAGCTTCCTATCTTTTATTAGAAATAAAAGTAGGACACAAGACAGGAAAAATTCTAAACAGTCATAGACATCAACGTGGCAATGATTACATACGGTAAAAAAAGTTTAAAGGTAGTTGAATAATTTGACATGAAGAATTTTTCAATTGCCAACTCAATATGTTCTATTTGACCTCATAACCTATAAATTTGGTGCATTATAATCTCCATGATTATTTAGCCTTAATACAGAGATTTTGTTAACTCAATCAGATGTTGTGGTAAGTATTGGATTTACAGCTTCCTGCAGGCATGGCAAGTCCCCTATCAATTGAGCTATACATTTGAGTCTTGTGATAGAGATATTATTCACATAGGTGTGATATAATCACCTGAAGACTTAAGAGTAGAACACTTTGTCTAGCTGGTGAAAGAAGAGAAGGACAGTGATTTTTGAACAAGGAAAGAACAATTGCTAGATTAAAGAAGACTACATTAGAATGGATGCTGGCATTCACAGGACCAGAGAGAGTTTCGTGATTGTTATCACTGGAGAACGGAGACCTCAGTCTAAAGATTCAAGCAAGTGGACAGGATTACAAGTATAACATCTTGAAAGTAGATCCTTTCCCAAGCTTCAATCTTGACTTCCAGTCAAGATGTGAGGAAGATAACCAATGGAATTACTCTGAATTCTTTCCTGAGCCTCAACCTTGACTTCCAGTCAGAACGAGGTGAATGAGCTAACAAATGGGATTAACTTATAAGCAGTCTCCAGATAATATCTTAGACTGGTCAGCCCCTGGATTTCATCCACATGACACTTTGAATTAGAACCCAACAGAATATCCCTGTACTTTCCCCAGAAATAAATGGGTATTTTCATAAGCCATTGTATTTCAGTAAATGGTAATAAGACAAATGTAAGAGAATAATAAATTGAATGAAGAAATTTATAAATTCACTATTAAAATACTTTAATAATTTTCTTATTGCTAATTGATAGATTAGCTAAAGGAAAAATCAAAATCAGAAGTGTATCATTGAGCTAAAAGGCATTAAAATTCACCCTAATTCAATTGCATTTATAACATACTTCAGAATACAAGAACACAAAACATCGTGTTTTTCACAAACTCACATGTTAGGATAGTCATCAAGACTGACCATATTTGGGGAGATAAAATAAGTTTTTTTTAAAGTGAAAACCATGTAAAATATACTCTGAAATCAAAACATAAAAGCTGGAAATTAACAAAATCAGAAAGGCAGATGGCAAACAAAAGAAGATTAAACAACATATCTCAGATAATATATGTCTATTATGACCTCTCAATATTAATTAAAAGTTTTTGAACCAAGTGAAGTGAATATTTTCATTGAAATAATGGTGGGTCACAGTATGAGTGTTTAAATGATTGGTTACATGCATTAGGAAAGATGAAAAATAGAAAATCACCAATCCAAGTTTCCAACTTAAAAAATAGAAATGAAAAAATCAAAAACTATTTGGAAAAAGACATACTACTAATAATTGCAGTGTAAATTGCAAAGAGAAAATAATATTCATCATGTGTAAGAAGACTCATAACTGATAAATCTCTTCCTGACCTGTGGAATTAAAACAGTTCTAAACAAAATCAGTTGGGTTAGTTTGTAACACCTGAAATTGAATTATCAAGAAAGATTAATTTTTATTTATGTGCATTTGAGTGTGTATGTGAGACAATGTGTGCTACGTATATGCTGGTGTATGTAGTAAGAAGAGGGTGTCATAGCCCTTGTACCTGGAGTTACAGTTAGTTCTGCACCATCTGACATGGGTGATAGGAACCGAACTTGGATCATCTGCAGAAGCAGTAAGCACTCAATTGCTGAGTCTCACCTCCATTCCCTGTAATTGGAGTTAAAGTTTATAAAATACCAAAAGTTTTTTTTTTCTTTTTTAATTGATTATATTGTGCTATACACTTCTCTCTGCTCCCCTTCCTTAACCGGCATAGTACTGAATCAAAACAAACTTAGTAAATTGACACTATAAATTCAAGATTCACTATAAGGCTAAAGGAATGAAAACAGTATATTCTGAAACTTAATATTCCCTGAAACAATGAACAAAATTAAATAGATCATCCATTCCCCCTTAAAGTTAGCAAAGACAGACTGCACAAGAAATGCCATAAGCACACCTGTAAAGCCACAGAAAATAATCAAGGAAAAAACATGTGAGCTTTATTGGATTTGATAAGTTTTTGGATACAATTTTAAATAGTATACGCTGTTCAAGAAAAGGATGATAAACAGGTCTTCATTAAATTTTGCCCTTTACACACATTGGAAAACTCACAGAACTTTACAGCCCAAAGGGTAAAGGAAGTGGATATAGATGACTCAGCATTAGCTTATGAGTAATAGGGACGATACTTCACTAATGTAAGACATTCACAATTGGGAAAATTATGCTGAGAAAGGGAAGGAGTATATGTGAATCTTAGTTTTCCTAGAAAGCTAAAATGTTTTCTTAATGTCTAAAATCATAAAATAAATATAGTTTCATACATTAAATAAAAACTGGCAGCATTTACCTGAGTTCTCTAAGTCTCAGCTCCTTTGGAACACAGCTAGTTTCAAGGAAGGAAGTAATTTCCACTCCATGAATAGCACAATGGGCAGAGGGTTTTAAGAACATTCTCATTTGGGAGTGAGCTTAAAGCCCATCAACCGCACACCTCATCACGGGAGTCCATTCACCACACCTCATGACTCGCTCTAACAGAAGACCCATTAGACAGGAGCACAGGCTTGATGATGGAGATAGCTGTTCTGGGACACTTTCCATTTTTCTGTAAGAGAGAGGAGAGTGAGAAAAAGTGAGAAGGTGAGAAACAGCACAAGAGAGTGTTCGCAAAATCCAATAAAACAAGAGAAAATGAAGTGCAATACAGTGCAGGGCAGCTGGTTGCCATAGCAGTCACTTGGATCACTCTTTTCTCCTTCCTTCCTTCCTTCCTTCCTTCCTTCCTTCCTTCCTTCCTTCCTTCCTTCCTTCTTTCTTTCCTTCCTTTCTTCCCTTCCTCCCTCCTTCCTTCTTTCCTTCCTTCCTTCCTTCTTTCCTTCCTTCCTTTCTTTATTTTTTTGGAGACAAGGTTTTTTTTTTTTTCTGGCTGCTCTGGAACTCATTTTGTAGACCAGGCTAGCCTCCAACTCACAAGTGCCAATATTAAAGGGGTGTGCCTGCACACCCAGTCTGATTCACTTATTTCTACCAGGAATTTCCCTCTCTGCTTTGCCGTCAACTAATTTACTTTTCTCATCACTCTTACTTACAGTCCAGAAGACTTTATTCTGACTGCAGATTCTGCCATGTTAGTCACTACAGTTTCGACATTGACTATGTAAATAAGCTAATCATTGAATATACCTTATTACAGTACACTAAAGTATATAAAATTTTAAAAAATTACATGGCAAAGATATTGACATGCCTGAGTGGCAAGTGGCTGTCTTTCCTCATGACCGGATCAAAGTAAGAAAACAATAGGAAGGAGACAATGGTAGCAGCATCGTAAGAGTTTTTCTTGGTTGCCCACTGTGCATTTGCATAGCCTCACACTGTAGAAGGAGCACAAGTGAGCTTTCTGCGGTCTCTATCATAAGAGCACAAACTCTATTCTTGACAGCTCTATCCTTATGACATAATTGCTTCCAGAGGCCCTACCTCATCACACTGAGAATTAAGATTTCAACAACTAAGTCTGGGTTTATGCAAACCTTTAGACCATAACAGCAACAGTGTAAAATAAACCAAACTAACACTAATAATTATACAACTAACAGTCTTTACATGTTCTTTATATGAATTGAATATAATAATTAACATAACTGTGTACTTGTGCCCTTGTGGTCTAACTAGTAGACTGCTTACTGTAGCTCGACTGAGCTTTAGAATAAAGCACTTCCTTCTTTTGAGTGACAGCTTAGTCTGCAGAACTTGATTGTGTTGTTCCCCTTGGCAACTCTTTTTAGAAATATTTGTTCTACTGATGACCACCTCACTTTTGCTTTCCAGAATCTTTGAATATATTGAACCTGGTACTGGTACACTTTGTGTCCCTAAAATAAACCCAGGAGGACACAAGGAAAAAAGCCCACGGGAAGAGCATAGTGCTAAGAAATGAAAGATTTTAAGCTTATCACTTTGCAACACACAAACACAAGCACACACCACACAGACACAGACACACATGCAGTGGGCTAGAGTTGAAATCAATATAAAAGCCCATGTAGGTTATAAACAGTCATAAAGTAAAGCATATAAGCAGTAATGATTACAGATTCACAGTTTGCATATTCTGTGTTTCTGATTTGGCTGCCACTTTACTATAGTATGCAACTATTACAGCAGGTTAACCGTAAGGCTGATCAGTGATTATCATCTCCTAAATTGCAAAAAACAGGGTCTCAATCAGTATTTCTGGACCTCTTGAAAATCTTATGTTCCTTAATGGTTCATTTAATTAGATATTTCTTAAAACAGCATTTACTAATTGTAATCTGCCGATGGAAAGATGCATGATGCATTCTACTTTTAATGGGCTTCAGTAACTAAAGGAGGGTATTTCCATTTTAAGAGGACACCGGGGAATGAGTAGATAGTAACGAGGCAGTTGTCTCATATCAGATAGGACTGCTCCAGTCAAGGCTGAAATCCTGGACCTGAAATGAAGGTTTTTTTATGTTTTTATGAAATACTTCTTATGGACTGTACATAAACTATTAAATAATGTGTGTGACTATACATAAGAACTGTCTGTCATCCTCAGTCAGAGACCTGTGAAGTAAACCGTTTTGAAGGAGAGATAAGGAGCTTGAAGAAATAATTACAAAACGATGGGATGATTATGGCTTAAAATGTTGAAGGAACCAGCTAATTTGACCTGGCTGCTTAGTACTGATACCTAAACGTGAATGGCTCCATCAAGAACTCAGATGGAAATCTGAGTAAGTTTAGAAAATGTAGACGTGGAAACATTCCAGTTTGAAGAAGTGAACTGAATTTTGTAAGAGCAAGTGATACAGAGTGAGTAGTTTTAACTGCGGAGTGGTAGAGTTAGATTTGAACTTGAGAGGACACGCCCAGTGAAAACCTATAGAAAGGATGTGCCCGCATTGACATTTGAACCTACAGAAAGGACATCCCAGCATTGACCAAGTCTAGCTCGCAAGGGAGGCCTCCTCTACCTTCTTTTGCCTCTGTCTCTTTTATTGGCAAGACTCATTTGCTTTATACTTGGCCTGTAGGTGTCCTACAGCTAGTCCTTTGATGGGTCTGGCATAAATAATATACTTGTGCTTGAAGAGCTAATTTATCAAGTTTATATTAATTTTACGAGTTTTAAACCCACTTCTAAACATTGTTTGAGGTTTCAGTCTTTTTTTCTATATGATTAGAAGGTTGAATCTCAGCCAGATAGCTGGTTATTACATAACATTTTAACCACATAGTGATAATATCTGTGCTCTAGTTGTTTTTCTATCAGTACACGTTATTTGTGCAAGTTAATTAATTCAGTGGTCATCGCTGGTATTAAGGGCTGTGATGGAGAAACGAAATTTACAGAGAAGAAAATTTTCTGTACACCATGGTGATTACAGAGAGCAATGCCTGGTATTTCATATGCCATGGCACAATGGATACCACATCAACATACAGAACACTAGTCATGTGATAATGAACAAATAAGTTAATATTTCCTGCCAAATTTCTTTATTTCTAAAACAAAGATAAAATCAGCATCTATACTTTAATGAATTGGCATAAGTATAAAATGATTTAATAGACAAAGACCGATGGAACAATGTCTTGAATTTGGTAAGAGCTTATCAATCATAGCATATAACTCAGTATAGAAAGAAAACGCATGCAACAATGCAAACTTGTTGTCCTACATCCATCCCTAAGAAGAGATGAGAATAAAACCCTGTTGCATTCAAAATGGTTCTAAGTTGCTTGACCCAAGCAAGTAAATTTCTATTAACAAACATATAAAATGATTTTGCATTTTATAGATGCAAATCCACAAACTTGTCTTTATTAACTTCTGTCTTCAAATTTTTATTAGCCATTTGTTTCTTTTAATAAAATACTACCCAAAACTCCAGTGAGGCCCTAAGCTATAGCTGGCCTCCATTGTGGAATGTCCACTTCTGGGTGAGCCTTGAGTTAACATGTGGAACCCCAAACTTCATGGACTAGCGAGTGTGGGAAAGCCATTGCTCTAAGCAATCCTCTTCATTTTGCACAAGATGTTCAAACATAGGCTCCCTCCTATCACCCCAGTAGAGGAACACTGGACTGGAGGTAAAATCATTTGAATTAGAGGCCCTGCTTTGTCATTGTCCATTCGACTTTGAACAACCCATTTAATTCTTTCAGAGACTCATTTTATTTCATTCATAATTAGAATTTTGAATTGCATAAAGTCTGGTGTCTATTCTTATTATAACATTATTTAATTTCAATACCATGATTAACTTCAGGTCTACAAGTTTTTCTGCTTCGTTGATATAGAATGACAGTCTACTCTGAAGTTCTCGAAAGAGCTATCCAAGCAGAAAAACCTTACAATTCCAATCTACATATGCAGAGCAGTGTATACAAACTTTACCGTCTGTGGCACGGCATCAAGTGCAGGTGGCTGTGTTGCCAGGTTTCCAATAACTATGCAGTGTGTCTACATTTGACATGAACACTGTTATCCAAGGAAACCTGCCAAATGTTGACTCATATCATTCCTGCAACAGCCTTTCTTATCATCAGTCTTACATAACTACAACTTAATTAGCACAAAGTAATAAAACAACACATTGTATACTGAAGTTGACTCTGTAGTAGGGCTGGGAAGGCACCCCCCACCCAGTATAGAATACACATTCACCTTCTGCAAAAGGGATTCAGTGTAGATATAATTTTGTAAAATTGTTTAATAACTAGTCTTATTAGTTGCTTTTTTTGAGATCTTCCTTTATTTTGCATTTAATGTTAATATTTCTAGTCAGTTTTACCAACTGACTTTTTATGCTTTTCCATAAAACAAGTTGTATACAGGTATTTTCATAAGCAAAAAATTTAGCTATATTAATGTTTGTTATCTAAGTATTTGGTGGGGCAGCTTCAAGATGATATTCTGAAATACTACTTTGAGAAATAACATTGTAGAAGTTCTTTTTGGAGGAGAAGTTTTTGTATTTTCCCCCTTGGAATTCTCTACAATAAATGTCCATAGACACTAATTGTCAAAACATTTATTTCTCGATTTCTGCTACTGTTTTAACTATAATCAACACACAGAGAATAAAACATGTTGACTTAGGAGAATAAGCTAAATAAGCAGAATAGCAACTACAGGTGTCTTGAGCTTCCCTTGACCTAGTTACTCTTGGCCAGAAGAGTGGGAGATTAATATTACACTTTGGTTTAATTAAATATTTTGTTATTTACTACAATGTAATACACATTAAAATTTCTACATAATTTTTAGTAGAATGCATTTTCTGGATATTTAATCAATGTATTAAGTGTATTTCATTTCTTGAATGTCAGGAAAATACTATTCATATTCATAATAATGATATAATAAACAAACAAGAAGATTGCAGTTTGTGTTCTAAGATAGTTGTCTTCATTACCTTAGAAACATAGGGTAACTAAAGAAGAGACTTGGGGTATAGAATTTTATAGGAATTGTCTGAGCTTTTACAAATGCCTGTTATTTGTTACCTTAGCAAAAGTTGTTTATTGATGAGAACTTGTAAAGAGTTAGCCAAAATATTAATATATTAA